ATCCGCCTACCCTTTGCGGCGACCTGCTGCTGAAAAGCCCGCGGATGTCGCTATCCTGGTTCCCGCGAGCCAATCATGGATTATATGAAGTGGTCCGTGTACTTTTGTCACGTTCTGTCTGTCCGGTTCTGTATGGTTGTATGAAGTTCCGACAGTTCGCGGTTTGTCGTAATTGTAATAAACCATCAGAATGTGGAATCACAATTATCATCAGCAGCAGCATCATCATCAGGTGGGCAGGCACTAATTTAAGCGTTACGAGGTACCTTGCCTGGGTCAACCTGGTCAACCGCCTCGGAAGCTAAGACCTATTTCCTGAATAGTGCAGGTGTATCGTCAAAACGGGGGGGGGGGGAGGGGGATTACATCCTTTTTCTTCCTGAATTTTGTTTTTGTTCCTATTAATTTCTTTTCTTCCCACCCTAAATGTTTTGCAGATGTGATATAGAGGAAGTTTGGGTTACAACGGTATGCCAGCATGAAATGTGGCAGTCGCAAGTCAAGCACTTCTAAATATCTATCTTTCTACTACTACTTATTACTATCTATCCCTTTTGAAAGTGAGGCACTGCTTGGTATACCCGGGTAAATACCCTGGTCGCCTCCTTCGGGAAAAGGTACCCAGTTGCTCTAGACTCCTGGTACTTACTAACACCTTGGAGAATATTTCCACAATGACGCCATGGATGATTTTCTGCTTCATCCGCTACAAACGCCAAAACTGAAGCTAGTATTCTCACCTCTGCCGGGGATAAAACTGAAAAAAACAAAAAGGTGTAGACGGAAGGTTGAGAACCTGGTTCAATGCGCAAAGAAAAAAAAAAAAAAAAAAAAACGGAGACACCTTGAACTGAAGCGCCGAATTCTTTAGTCTGCGACCCATCCGACGGCCATACTACTTGGGAGTTAAGTGGTCCCTTCATATGAAATCTGCGCCATTTCTGCAGGTGCAACAGCTCGAAGGATCCGTCTAGCTCCAACGTATATATCCAAACCCCAGTCATACTTCCGTTGCGTCTCCTAATTACTACTAGTAGACTCCTGACACCAAGGAGCTCGTTCCTCTCAAGCTTGACAGGGGGGAGGAAGTCGGGGAAGGATGTCTTCCTGTTCGCTCAATCATCGCCCCAAGATCTGCTAAAGGTACAGTGAGCATAAGAACCCAGTGATCTAGAAAGGGAAAGAGCGATCATGATCATGCCAAATCATCAAGAATGGGCCAATACTCGCCTTAATTTATCTGCCAGCACTGTATGATCAGTTGCGAATGAAAAGGCTGCGGCTGCATTCTTTTCCTTCTTTTGCTGACATTTTTTTTTCTTTGGCCTGAGTTGGATTCGTGGATCTTCGGGACGGGACTTCCATACACGCGTCCGTGTGTTGATGAGTGGGCTCATGACCCGATGTGGCAAAGTTGGATCATAGCAAGGATCATAGGATGAGGCCTGAGCTCTCCCAAGCGAAACTTTCATTTCCATTACTGTGGCTTGGACGCTACCTTGATCAGGGGGGAGGAATTGCCTCGTTTCCGAGAGAGAAAAAGGGATCACTCCAATTCCTTCCCTGTTCACATATTGGATGCAATTCACTGCAGCCATTTCATTATTTCTCCGCCGTGAGGGTCGTCCAAACTCCCATTATCAGGTTTCTTCCTGTGCACAATCTTGGGACGATATTCAACGACAGCTGGAACTTTCGGCCCGTCAAGTTGACGGTTCGGATCGGAGGTCCGCCCGTTTTCCCACCCAAAGTTCTGCCGGGGATGCAAAAATACAACAAGAGCATAGGTACGGTATTTACAACCTGAGCCATTGTATGGACTATCCTCCTTCTTCTTAGTACCTGTCCAAGCTTGCCGAGTCAGCCTGAGCACGACCACTGTGGAATATTATTAAGAAATTTAGTAGCTGGCATTGTTCCAATCCTTACAGTTCAAAAAACATTATGGCTGCCTCCACGAGGGACTTAACATGAACAGGCACCGATGCAGTCTGACAAGTGAGTGGGTTGGATCAATGAACTTGTTCTTGTTACTCTAACCGTTTTTTCTTTGTGGCTGTCAGGGTTGGGATCGGTTTGATTCAAGTATTGTATGTGCCTCACTAAACCGGCCACTGATCAACTTGGTTTCGCCCTCGTCGACCAGTGCATGGGATTCGCCACTAGAACTCTCGGGGAACAATACACTTTCTGTCTTGATCGGTGTCTCACCATCACTTGCTGCGAGCAAATATTCGGCCCATGGGGATCTTCATGATTGATGACATCAGAACAGCCACAGAGGACACGAACCGTGGGAGCACAGACTGCCTAGGGCTCTATACTTGAGTGATATAACTACATGAAGCCATGGCTAGTGGCTTTGTATACCTTACCTTTCTGTACTGGTACAACACCGTCGAAACAGCACCATTTTGCCATTATATTTCCGATCCACCAACTTTGGTGCAGGATAACGATTCAGGCTATTGGAGCCCCGGCGCTGCGCATTACCTTGGAAAATGAACCAGGACATTCAGCAAGGTGCGCCGGTTAGCCAAGGGCTGACAGAGGTCAGTCAGCTTAGGTACTTTCGTACTTACCGGGCAAACCTTCTACAACCTTGCACATAGTGCATGTGTCATCTGGTTCTGAAGAGGCCTATTCTGTTTCTCTACTGTGACCCATAGAGCAGAGCGAGCTGAGTCCTGCTGAGCACAGCTGAGGACGACAGAAACTCACTTTCGTGCTCTGGCGTATGCCAGCCAATGTCATTTGAGGATCGCCCATCCTCGTGGGAGGGATCCAGCCAGCCACATTGCACGGTATAGGATATGGCCCGATGAATGGTGGGAGAGATTGTGCTGTAATAATATGTTGCCCCTGATGGCTCTCGTTCTTGGGGTTGGAGTTTCCATCACCAGCATTCGATCTCAGGTTTCACGTGCTGTGTCTGCCAGCAGATCCAAAAGACCATCCTCGCTTGGGTCAGCACTATCCGTACGTTGCTCAACATGGTGAGGCTAACCTAGTGGGCTCTGCGGAAGAGCCGAACTTCCTAATCCTTCCGTCCAGTATTGTAGGCATCTATGCTTCAACGCCTCGGCGTCCTGCTGGCTGTCGGGCACTCTCTTTGCAGCTGACATAGGATTTACTCAAAATGCTTCCATGCATCGGCACTAGAAGGCTAAGTCCAGTCGATCATCCTTATGCGTCGTCGTCGTCCTGAGAATCAAGTTATCGACCACGACATATCACAACTGATGCCTGATTTCTTTTTCCTTTCGAGGACTAACTCCTTCAAGTTCTAACATATCGAAGCAGCCTGCCCACCAAACCCCCCTTCCTTGTCCCAAAATGCCCGTATCTGTGTTACTTGTGTAGGGATACACGATACAGTATAATACTCCATCCTAGTAATTCCTGCCTATCAGTGTCGGGAAAATCCATACTAACCCGTTCAAAACCATACCAAAGCAAATTCCACCCATGCCACCCTCTGATAAGTATAAGAAAAAAAAGGGAAATAAATAAAGCGCAGATAGTCAAGAAAATAAAAAGAAGCAATACCATTCTCCTCGCTGTCTCTTGTTTTCTCCCTCCGCTCGGGAACTCATCCGGCCAAAAGTACCTACCTACATGCAGTGATGAACGAACCCATACCTATCTAGGTAGGTAAGCTGATAGCCAGGATAGTAAGTAAGTAGTAGCAGCAGTAGCAGTAGTGATAGTAGTAGTCCAGATGCCCTCCTCCACCCCCTCCCCTCTCTCACTCTCTCGCGCGCGCGCAATTGAATATATCCTCCGCCCCTAATATTTAGTTCAGCTAGCATCACGTAAGGGCTGAAACACAAAGCACTGCATGCACGACGACCTCGACCATTACAATATTACTAGGTAGGTACCAAGTGCAAAGCCCATGTACGATGTATGTATGTATGTATGTATTGATGTAAGCATGAGATTACATATATACGTACATACTTTACAGCAATACATACACCGGAAATGGAACAAGGCAACCACCGGCGGCATACATACTTGCATCCAATCAATCTATACATAGATAGATAGATAGAAACCTAAGTACAGTACTACTTAGCTAAGTATTTACCTACCTACCTAACGGAAGGGAGCAGGTTTTATTTATTGCTACTTACTTACCTCTCGGGTGGTAATAAAAGAAGAAGATTTGGACGGTGTGGTCTATCTGTCTGTCTGCCTGTCCGGTTCTTTAGTAACTGCCAATTTAGGTTGTTTATGGGTGAACCCCCACCCCCCACATATTTTCTCCGTGTCTTGTTTTGGAAAGAGAGTAGATTATGAGTGAATAGATGGGTATATAGGAAGGTGATAAGTACTGGGGGTGGTTTGGCAAAAGTACATATGAAGTTCAGTGGGAAAAGGGACCTAGCTTTGGGGGGGATGTTCATATTACAGATTATTATACATGGTGAGTTATAAACTAAACTACCGGGGGGAGGATATAATGACTCTGGTAATTGGTTGTGGATTTATGGCTGGTACTACTTACTTACTACTCCGTATGTAGTACTTAAGTTGGGGGTAAGTTGATAGTAAATGGGAGATGTAAGGTGGTTGTTTTTTCCAGTCTCACTACTAGGTATGTATGTATGTATGTATGTATCTATTACCAAATTGACTACGGATTTTCAAAAACAAGAAACGGAAGGAGGAGGAAGAGAAAAAAGCAGGTGGACGAGAGAAAGAGGAGACGCTAATGTCGCGCCGTGAATAGTGCATCCGTTTCCCGTGCGTGTCGCGCCCGTCAGTCCGTCACTTAGACAATGCGCTAAAGGGACATCAATTAGAGGAAGGAAGAGAAGAAAAAAATGAGGAGGGGAAGAGCGGATGGGGTGGATGGATGGAAACGATGGGCGCTACCACAATCGCCTCCTCCTCTTTTCCTCTCCTCTTCCCTCGTGTGGATTGGCATGGGATGTAGGAGTTATCTAGCGTGGTTTTTTAGGGGTGTGGCCCCCCCGGGGGCGGGCCGAAACATTCCCAGCAGTAGGTTATGTTTTCTTTTGTGACGGTTGTAGGATCATCCCTGGGCTATCTGTATGACATTGGAGGGTGAGGGGAGGGGGTAGGGGAGAAGAAGGAGCGAAGAGAAAGAGGAGCGCAGAGGGCGAGATTGAGAAAGTGGGTAAAGACCCAGCGCCATGGATCCGCACAATGTCCGAATGATGGTGGCTGCATCTCTAGGCTGATTTTCCCTTTGTTTCCTTTGTTTTCGCTCCCGCGACGCGGCGTCAACTTTCGTCCATTTGGCCCTTTCGTTCGGACTTGCAGGGAACCTGGGGGTTTGGCGCGCCCGACACGCTGGACCTGCGGAATTGAGATGAAGGCGCTGCAAATGGCCAGTCTGCGAGTGTCTGTGATCGAAAGAAGCAATGGAGGGTGAGACAGGCAGGAAGGCAGGCAGACGAGTCCAGGCAAGGCAGTCATGTCCGTTGGGAGGGAAGCCATGGCTGGCTCCCATGTGGCCCACTGTCTATCTTGCCTCTCCAAGGATAATCGTACGCAGGAGTCATTCATGAAGCCAATCCTGCATCTCGCTTACAGGATTGAGTGTCTGGTCGTGTCAGATTTCGGAGAGCCCACATACACACACCCTCTTTCCTCTCACACACTGCTCCCGACAACTAGAGGACGATCTCCCGTCTCTACCACATTTCACTCAAAGGCATCCGTCAAGGCAGGCTGAACCTTCAGCCAATACCAGCAGGAGACTCGAAGTGACACTTTCCCTGCTTGTCTATCCCTGTCAGGGCCGGTCCACTGGATCCCAGCCGGCTTGTCGAGGAGATCATCGTCCTCTCCCGACACCGCCAGCGTTTTGACGCAAAAACTGGCCACGGGAGAAGACAAAAGGGGCAATACGTAAATAGCAACTACTGCGCGGTATAGTTGATCATATGCTGCTAATTCTCACTGGGACAAGGTTGCTGCTGATGGTCATACTACAACCGCGTGATGCAAGGAAGAGAAAGCATGGTGGACTGAATACATGCTGAAGCGCCATACTGCCAGCTCACACGGCTGATGACCAGATCTTTGCTTTCATCCATTCAAGTTTCAACGGGTCCACCCGGTGAGAGCTATGATGAGCGAAGTACGTTACCCAACATCAGGTTGTGGGCTGCAGGGTCGATGGGAATCGGTCCCATTGATGATCCCAGTGGGAGTAAAGCAGGGCAGAGGGTTGCAGTCTTGTTTAATCCCGCACTGTCGGTCTATACCAGATGACGGCTTCATTTGGTCGCAGGGTTAGTCGTAGGCATCCCGGCCTGTTCACCAGCTGCAACTGCTGCTGCTGCGACGGCAGCAGAATTACTGGAACCCGCGCTAGCAACGTTACTCGCATGCGCCAGCAGGAACTTACAACAGGTCAGGGTGTATTTGCATGCACGGGTCCAAGTTTCGTCGTTCTGGTTGAAGCCAAGCTTGATACTGGCGTCGCCAATCTTGTCGCGCTTGATCTCGTATGGAAGCTTCAATCCGGGCACTGTAGTGTTAGCCTGACCCCGGCGATTTGAGGGCACAGGCGCCGGCGTCTTCTCCACAAATTCACCTAGTTGACGTAAACATTCCAGAAACGCCACCATGCCTGCATCAAACCGGCGGTGAAGCCAAGGTAGATTTAGGGGCAGCTCGCCCGATGAGAACAGGTCGAGGACGGTGATCTTGGGCGGTGCGGATGACATCGCATTTGCTCCACTCAGCGCCGACTGAGCCGGGGACGGTCGAGACTGTTCGATCTTCTCTATTTTAGACATAGATCCCATTGGCTTGATCTGGTATCCTTGAAACTGGAAGCCTAACTTGTCGGCGATGGTTGCTAAGAGGAGCGCTGTCTGACCCCAAGCAGCATTGATCTCGGGCCAGTCTACCGATGGGTTAGCCAATCGGCCAAGCCGCAACCCATTGATGGTTCCAAAGTAGCCATCGTGACCGATGCAGAAAGCGTCATTGTACACATTGGTCCTTTGTAGTCTTTCAAGCTGGCGAGAGTCATGGTCGTATTTCATGTTTAGGGCATCGCGTTCGTTCTGAAAATCGGAGAGGGTCAAGGCAAATGAATTGCGATCACGCCAGAACTTTTCCTCTTCAAGATCCAATTGACGGGCTTCCTCCTCCAGGCCGGCGATTTCTTCATCCAAAACTGACTTTTCTGCTTCCAACGCAAGGAGTTCTTCAAAGGCGAGCTTCTCCGCATCCAAGGTCTCCTGTAGCGACTTCTGGGCCGCCTCGAGCTCTTCAGCTGTGGGGACAGAGGAGTTTAAGTCTCGCAAAAATGAGATGTATGCATCCCGCTCCTTTGTGGCATCTGCTAGTCGTTGCTGTAAACCGTCCACGAGCATCTCTGTACATTCGGTGCAGATGGGATGGTCAATATCGGATCGCGCGGAGATTATATCAAACAGCCGACTTGTTCGTTCGACTTGATCTGCAAATGATGCGTCGTCCGATCCGCGATCGTTGGACTGTGTGCTGGCCGGCAGCTTACTGTTCGCGGGATTATCACTGCTGGGACCGGGCATTCCATGTGGCGGCCCAACTTGAGACTCTGTGAGCATCACAAAGGACATGTTACCACTGTCCCCTCGGCCCAGCCTTGGAGGGTTGGTCTGGCTACTGCCTGCCTGGCGGGGAGCTGGAACAGATCTCCGATATACCGGTGATGTAGCATGTTTAGAGGCCCGGTCGTAAAGCTCTCGTCGCTCTTGGGGGTAGGAAGGTCGGGATGATGAATGGGTGCCATGGTCCGGTAGGGATCTACCTGTTGAGCCTGGAGAGTTCGAGACGAGAAATGGTTAATTTCCGGCATGATTCCGTACAGCTAAACACACAGAGAGAGAGAGGGATGAGAGGCCAAAGCTGAGATTAACGTACCGATCAGCAGGTCGAAGGCGGCGGGGTTGAGGGACTCGAGAGAGCCATCCAACTTCAAGGGAGTCCGGCACTTCTGGCAATACATGGCGAAATGATGAAATCAGCCACCCTGGCATTATTATGATCGTGAAGGGGAAATGGTGATTTTGTCTGACGGGAGCCAGGGAGAAATCGAGAAGGACGAGAGGGAACTTTGGGGATGGTCGGCAGGGGATCGCATTTCACGAGACGTCATGCGGCAATCCGTGCGCGGCGCGTGTTTTGGCGTCGTTCTTTCCCCGACCGGCAGTTTCAATGGTTTCTATTCACTCAATGCAGCTCCAGACAATCGGAATGCGAAGTCGGTTGGTCTAAGACGCTGGAAGGTATGCATAGTCCGTGTTAATCTCTTTGAGCTGAGCCTGTTCCGAAGCTTTTGAAATGTGTTTATGTTGTTCACTGAACATTGAAATGTCTCTCTGTGTGCACTCGGGAGTTACTATGTCACTCCCAGTTCCTTTCTCAGTCTGCTCTACCTTGACTCGTTTCGTCTTTACCTCTATGAATTGGCAGTTCCGCTGCTTTGTCTATTTATACTACCTGTTACTAACTACAAATGTAAAGAGCTTTCAACAGGCGATGTCACAGCCTTGATCCAAAGACCTTTCGCTCGGTGTTTTCCGCAGAAGCAGCGCTGGAAACCTTCTTCGTCGCTACTCGCCCCCTCCAGCGCACCCATAATAATTCAGCTACAATTTAACGAGACAATGGAAAGGCCCGCGAAAAGACCACGCTTCTCCATGGGGCCGGAACCCGAGGAAGAAGTGGACGATATGGACATTCACGAAGCACGTGCACAGAATGATCTCCGTCTGAAGTCGATCTTCGAAGGCATTTTTGAAAAATACGGCAAGGATTTTACGGACGTTGGCGACGAAATTGATTTACAAACCGGAAATATAATCGTGAACAATGGCCACATCCAGGCCATGGAGGGTGAAGATGATACCGGGGAACAGAATGGTTGGCTGTTTGAGACGGATTTATCTGCACCTCCAAATCCCGATGCGGACAATGTTAGGTTGGGCAGTTCTGCTCATTCTCCTGATGCAGAGGAAATCGGAGGTGATGCTGCAGGAGATGACGGCGGCACGCAATTGCAGCATCCACCGGCGCCGATGCCATCGCAAACAGGGCTGGTCCCAGACCAGCCATGGGACGCCATCATGGGCGAAGCAGCCAATGACGACCCGGACGCTAACGACGAGGGGTCTAGTGCGGACTCGCTGCTAGATACTGCATTGTGCGTCCAGAATAACCCGGATGGCTCTCGGGGCCGAAAGGTGACGGCAGATGCCACAGGGAGACCGACCATCAAAAAAGCAAACTCTGCGGCTGAAGCATCCGCCCAATCCAAGGAAGTCAAGTTCAGTGAGGCGGTGGAGGCGATATGGCGCGTTCCTGAAATTAGCGGGGACTTTGCTACGCCTACATGGAACAAGTCACGTCCTGCGTCTTCTTTCAATACAGTGCGGTCTCAGTCTCCACCGGGATCAGGGTCTATCTGGGCACTTCCTTGGTCCTCTCGACGGGGCTCTGGACAAAAACGCGCAACGAAGCCTCAGAAGTCACCGCAGGGGAGGAAGCATCATTCTAGCCCCGTCGTGTGCGACTGGTCCTTTGCAGAGACGCCGGACGGAGACGAATCCGACGATCCGTTGCAGGAAGACTATGAGCCCTCGCCGACGCCCAAACGGGGCATGGAGATCCGAGGAAAGCGCTCGGAATCACACACTCCAAGCCGTGCGAAAGACCGATGCAGGTCTTGCCAGCAATACTTTACTCGATCCGATTACATTTCCCATTTGAAGGGCATTCTATCGCAGGCCCCCGATGGCCAACATGATCAGGCCGCCATGCGGAAACATCTGGCCGCCATAACCAACTCTCATGATTCAGAGAAGCGGGCAGCAGCGACCAGCACTTCCGCCCAAAAGAGTGGGGCTTCCTCTGAGAATATAACGAAAGTATCGGCGGAGAACACTCTAGACGATCCTGATACGACGACGCCTACGAAGAAACGTGTTCGGACGTACATTAGTCCAGATGAAGCAAGATTGATTATTGAGATGAGGCAAGTACAGGGGAGAAAGTGGAACGAGATCGTCGACCGACTTCCACACAAAAACTTGACCCAACTCCTAAACTGGAATAAAACGCACTGGAGTGAACGCCGAGCGAACCCGCCTCCATTGTCCAGGCCGTGGACTAAACAGGAGCGGGAAGAGTTGACCAAGATCAAAGACCAACACAACCTCTCGTGGGCCACCGTCCGCGCAAGACTGTGTGGACGCCCAGTTGCGGAGATTGAGTTCGAACTATTGCAGCTCTGGAGTGGCGAGGCCGTTTAATGCCCACGAAGAAAGATAATTGGGCGCCCGTGTCAGACTGACAAGGACGGGATGAAGCCGATTCGCGGCAACCGAGTCAGAGTTCGATTCGATTCAGACGTGCAACCAGTCAGTGGAGACGATCGCCTCAAGCACGACTTTTTGCCAGATTCATGCCACGACCCACTAGGGCAAGTATGGATGACAGGAGGGCCGTAGACAATCGCGCGGTTCTATCTAGCGCGAATGGGAGCAGCCACCGCCACGGTTCGTCCGGGTAAGGCCGAGGGGATCCCAGCTTGTCGGTTTCAGCGGCAACGAGCATAGTTCTGGCCGCCGCCATGTCCGACACTAGCATCAGCTTCATGCATAGCGGGAATAGCATGTTTGGGCTTTGTCGCCCCTGTCCAGGGGTCTTCCCGGAGGCCCATAAATGATTATTTCTGCCTTGTCTCCCTTTGCCCGTGACGAACCCCATGCTTGTCCGCAATGATTCGTAGCTTCTATTGATCCTCTTCCTTTGCGTTCAAAACATCTTCCAGCTTTGTATCCACGGCGCCACCAACATCTCCGGCTTTGGCCCAGAACCTAGAAAGATGTCTCGAACCCGAATCAGACAGCACTGTCACAA